TCAGGATTCTCATAGTAAACCCTACTGGGAATTTACATTAAAGTTTTCCCAGCAACCAGCAGTTGCTATATCTCTATAAGAGGTTGGAGAGGCTGGTAGTTCCTCCAGTAATTAGCTCTGTAGCCATTCAACACAAAAAGAATTCAGTTTAGCTCACTTACTGTTGTTCATCAGCTATAAAGAAACCACCATCACCGTTGCCATATCACAGTTACTATCCTCTTTTTCCTCCAATGTATACATCACGTTTTATAAGGCCAAACCCTGTCCCTCTGGGAGGAGAGCGGGCTTTCACACAGTCAGCAGCTAAAAACTGTCTACTCATGATGCCTACCTCCCACCGCACGTGTGACCTACACCCTCCATCTATAGGGAGCACTACTGAAGGCTAAAGGAGCCATTATTCTGGGCCACACAGGTAGAAAACCAGCCAGCCAGCATGACCAGTGCGAAGAGGAAATCAGATACACACAATATTACGTTTACACATTTGCTTTCACCTGGCGACGACTCATAGAAGTCACCATTGCGCTTAACTGTTTACTGAAGGCTTTGCAATACTTTCAATCAATCATACATCATTTAAGATCACAGTTGTATGTTCACCATAAACATTGAAAACTTACTGCTCCAGTGAGTCAAGCATAGCACAGTGAAACAGTGAAAAAGCAAGTCTTGCATCTGTGATTTCATGGTCCAGCTGAGATTGAGGCAGGTGTGTCTCACCTCTCAAAGACATATCTGAGGGCTATAAAGGCGAAGGCCAGAGGCAAGGTGTAGATAAGATCCCTGGGTAGAGGGAAGCGGCCCTCGTCCTCTTTCATCCTAATGTCCTGCCAGTGCATGCCAGCAGGAAGCCAGTACTCCTCCTGCCACAGCCACTCATTTAGCAGGGCCTCCATCCTGAGGGGAGGAGAGGAGAACAGTGTTTTAATGTGAGTGTTTCCAGAGCAGACCTGACCTGCTAAAACATTGATGCCTTATTCATACCAAACAGCAGCTGAGACCCTCAAGATTACACATTAAAAGACACACAGAGGGAGCAAAGCAGCATCTTGTTCAAATGTTTACTTTTGATCATAATGGATCAAATGTTGGTCTAAAGCGTATCAGAAAATAGGGGAAAATCCAATTTAGATTGTCCCAGATTGAAGGCGAGGTCTTCAAATTCCTTGTTGTATCTAATGAACAGTTCATAACCCATAGATATTCAGTTTACATTCATATATGACTAAACAAAGCAGCAAATCACCACACTTTCATAGCTGAAACAGAGGAGGTTTGGCAAAATGATTAATATCAATCAATTCATTGATTATAAAAAATATTAATAAACGAATTATTTTAGCTCCACACCACAAATAGTCATTGGTTTGATCACAAAACAGCAACAACAAGAAACAACAGTTGATCACAACATAACACAGAACATGCAAATCTACCAGCCAGCAAAAAAACAAAACAAAAACAAAAACCTTAGTGGGCTGCGACCCCAACATGAGTTCCTGCATGTATCCCAAACATAACCTGAACAATGCTGCCTTGACACTTGCAAGGGCTTCAAGAACTATCTGCCAAACCCGCACACACAGGCATGCACGCGCACACGCTCACGAGCCCACAAATAAACACATTCACAAATAAACACACACAGACGCAAACACACCAACACACACCCCTTCCTGCGGTTATGAAATCGCATACTCAAAGCTGGTCGGCTGGAGTTTAAAAGCTTCCTACAGCGTCACATCGATCGTCTGATTGATTATTGATTATAGGCGTACAGCATGAAAGCGTGAGTTAAAGCCTCCGTGCAGCCTGCTGGCAGGAGAAAACAAAACAGCCTGCGCATGACAGCGAGGCGCAACCAGCCACACAACAGACACGCAACAGACACGCACCTTATCTATATCTCTATACCTAATCTCTATACCAGGTTAGAGATTAAAAAACAAGCAACATATTATTCATAAATATCCTATGAAGTGTGGCAGCCACAGGGAGGAAGCC